CGGCGACGTTCTCGACATTGTGCGGAGCAGTCTACGCCTTTTACTTGGTCCTCTCCTGCGATGGCCTCGCACACTTCTCACCTGAACGCAAGACATGGCTGCCATTCCTAAATCGATGCATCTTCAAGCGGAGACTTGGCGGATTCAGCATCCTCGGCAACTCGCACCAGTTGAGCGTTGACAACTACACTTCAGTGATTCTAGCCTTTCTCATCCATGCGTGCGCGCGCAGGGGAACCGATTTCATGCTGGAGCAACCTATAAATTGCTTGTTGTTTAGCGTGCCATGGGTAGCACATAGCATTTGTGTAGCCAGCGCGTCTAGGGTTCTTGCTGGGATGTGGGCGCTTGTCTCCAGGACCGACAAACCTTTTAGAATTTTACAGTAGTCTCCCACTGCAGTGGCTGAAGCTGCACATTCAACGCAAGTGCAAGCGCCCTGCTAAGGGGCGATCCGCCAAGGGCAGACTCACTCGAGTAAGGCGAGGCTGGGTCAATGGCAAGCATGCTGCACTGAAAGAAAATGCTGCATATCCACACGCATTTTGCGTTGCGCTGTGTAAGTGTGCTGTATCAGCCAAATTCGATGCAGACCGTAGCTAATGAGTGCACTGCGAAGCCGACCCCCCGTACACAACAATGCACGTACATAATTACTATAGCAAGGGGTATCTTGGGTAGTAAGGGCTGTCTTGGGTAGCAAGGGCTGTCTTGGGTAGTAAGGGCTGTCTTGGGTAGTAAGGCTGTCTTGGGTAGTAAGGGCTGTCTTGGGTAGTAAGGGCTGTCTTGGGTAGTAAGGGCTGTCTTGGGTAGCAAGGGCTGTCTTGGGTAGCAAGGGCTGTCTTGGGTAGTAAAGGCTGTCTCGGGAGAGGTGCTATTCTTCAGCAGCGCCGGTTCGTAGTTAGGCAAGGGGGGGGTAAGGGCATGGCCCACGATGGCCTGGATTCCGTCCGCAGTTGCATTGTCGGCCCAAGCGTTGCACTTCAAGAGACGTCGTTCGATCCAGCACTTGAGCGTTTTTCCCAACCATATGTCCGCCCGCAATTCTCGATGGCGAGCCGAATCTGGAAATCACGCTGGAGATTGGAGGGGTACCGCGTGAGAAACCATTCAGGTTCCTCATCCCTGCGGAAGTTTGGTTGGTTCCAGCCAGGGCCCAGGACGCCGACGAGGATGAGCCTGAAGAGAAGAAGAGGTCCGCGGCGAAGGCTGAGGTGGCAACTGCGCAGAGCAAGAAGCAGCGCACCGAGCAGGAAGTCGCGCCAAAAGGTCGTGGGGGGTTGAATTCGAGAGGACATGTGAACACACATGGGTCCAGGTATATTTCCGAAAAAATCAGAAAGCCCGTGACGTTTTGGCAAGTGAGTTCTGATGTTCGGAGACGCTCCGCTCTCCCTAGCCTATCGAAACCCAGAAGGCGCAGTGTCCGAAAAGGCCGAGGAAGACAAGCAGCCGCAACCGCAGCTGCCGCAGCCAGGGGCATCATCCTCAGCAGCGCCCTCAGGCAGCCGCCCATTGCCCGCTAGTGCATGGCTGTCAAAACACTCGGGACCTAGCGGCCCGAAGGGTGAACTGGAGGCGCCCACGATTCCGCCTCTTGTCGAGATTCTTGTCGGGATCGATTCGCAGGATGACCAGTCCGAGACCCAGAATTGGACAGCTGCCGCCCTCGCGACAGCGTTGGCCTTTTCACGGGACGGCTATGACTATTCAGATACGCAGCCGCCCTTCACCGATTTTGCGTAGTGGAGGCACGTGCCTCAGACTTACATACGGAGGGATGGGTACTGGGAATCAGGGTGGACATGGGTAGCGATGGCTGACTACGGGGTGGAAGGCAGGAGGGGCGGTGAGTTTGCGGTGGCTTGTCAGTGAGTTTCGGTGAGTTGTGTGATTTGTCTGGCTTCAGTGCCAGACGTGCTGCCTGCGCTGTGTGTCACGGCAGTGGGCTCCAGTGATGACTCGTGGCTTTGAGCTGCGTAACTTTGAATTGTTTGATGGTGCGATCTCGCACCTAACTGGTGGCATCATGCTGCCACGCTGCAATCGCAAGTGCCAGTGCACAAAAACACTACGAAAGAGAGAGGGAAGGAGGGAGGGACGGAGGGAGAGGGACGAAGGGAGAGGGAGGGAGGGAGAGGAGGGAGGGACGAAGGGAGAGGGACAGAGCAAGGGAGAGAAAGAGAGAGCGAGAAGGAGAGCGAAAGGAAAACGAAATAAAGAGGGAACGCGAGCCGGAGAGGAAAAGGGAAACATTAAGACGACACGTGCGGAAACACAGGAGGAGAGGGGCGAAGATGAGAAGGAGGAGGAGGAGGAGGAGGAGGAGGAAGAGGAGGAGGAGGTGAGGAAAAGAAGGAGGAGGACGGAACGGGAGGATCAAAGGTGAGGGAGAGAGGATTTGTGCATATCACAACGGGGACGACACCGACGCGGTGGAGAGAACACCCGACAGCACGGGTGGCGATTTGGCAACCGTTTTTCTCACGTTTTCGTTGTCCTCTGCTCCCTTCCCCGTTGTCGCACATCAGTCGTGCCAACGCCCCAGTCTCAGAGTGTAGATCATCGCCGATTCGGTTGCCAAAAAATCGGCGCTTTTCGACGGGCCACAAAAAAACGTCGACGTTCTAGATTCGAATGATACTCTCGCTGCAACGCATTACAATATTGTATCAATCGATGGGCGCTGTCACCATAGCGCGGATATATAATGGACGTGCGCATATTTATCCAAGTTCAAAAATCAGAAGGCTCGTTTTACAGGTATACTTACTTAAGATCCGTGTACGGTTTTATGATCCGAAACGAATGAGCACATTAACACATATGATTATAGATTTTCGCTCCGTTTTATAGGCTATACGTTGCATAGTACGGAACAAATATTAAAAGACGTATTCTATAATGGTTTATGATGGGATATTGGTAATTTGCGGTCACGCGTGCAAGTAGCGTCCCGACAATTGACACGGTAGGTGACAAAATTTTCTCATGGAAAAGTGAAGCCTCTGCACGCAAGAGGAATCAAAATCATACGTTTATACGTTTTCTGGACCAGTTTAAATATGAAATCATGTTTTCAGAAAAAAAAACTTCAATTTTTTTCACGACGCAATTAGTGCAACATTCGATCTTTTATTGTCTCTTCATTTGCGCGTCAGTTATATGAGCATTTGTCGCAACTGCGAAACATTGATGTCTTCTGTTGCTCATTACACCAATATGTCAAATATAGGAAAACAAAATCCGTTATTTATCGCCCTTATTTCCCCCCCATAAATTTTCGAGAGCGCTCGTGGCCTGCACGAGCGTGTTCGCGCTGGCGCCGCCTTGGGGTTACAACATTGATAATGGGACATCTTATGGATGGGGGAGAAATCTCACAGGTCGCATACACTAAAATTACGTATGTTTGGAGATTTTTTTTGGTATCTTTCACACAGAGACCGAGCATGGCGAATATGTATATATATATATATATATATATATATTATATATATATATATATGTAGATACACTCACATATATATATATATATATAGAAATATATATATATATATATATATATATATATGCGCCAGAAAACTGACGCAAACCCTGAAAACAAACGCAAATATCACATTCAACAAAAATGTGATGCCCGCGCTGGTTCCCATTCTTGTGAAAACGCAACATATTGGGTTTAATTCGTTGCGATCCGAAAATGCGACAGGGTACGCGAAACCAAATAGTATGTAGAAGCAGCTGTGCAACAACCATGGGTTACGCTGCGCGTTTTGGATTTGATTGACAAGCAGAGCGGAATACGCATGGGACATAATAAGAAATTGGAAAACTAGGGCGGATGAGGATTAGCCCGCCAAGCAAAGTAGGATTCGATATTGGTGGACAGACATAATATCTACACGTGCGATGGAAAATTCATCCGGAAATACCCTTCGACCCTGAACTGTTGGGGGCACCACTGCACATCCCAGAAGACGAATCCACGACCAAACAAAGCAGATGAAAATTGCAAAACTTAAGCGTGGCAAAACAAACAAGCTTAATGATAATAAATGTCGACCAAACAACGCCATGATGCGCAAAAACAAAAAACCAATTGAACAATGTGACAACAACAAACCAATTAGTTTTCCTTGTGTTTGTATTAGGTATTCGTCCGTCTATTATTGATGACCTTCGACAAGCAAAAACTGGAGAACATTTGGCCTCAACACAATTGAAATGTAAGAAAAAACGAAATACATCTGACGCCATACGCGCCGTGCGCCGACATGTTGAAATGGTTCGTACAAAAAGACATGGACGAACCACACCGTCGAATTTCTTGCTTAGCAGATGACCCGATAATTTTACACATTAGATGCACATTATATTTCAACCATCTGGCATCAATTGTTTTGTAATGGGTCGTCCACAACGCCCAAGAGAAGATGGGCGAACAGGCATCTGAATCTCTTGTATTTGGCAATTTTCCTATTATTCTCTACCCAACAAGGGTCGCAACAAAGAACAATTACATCAAATTTTGGATGCGATTGCTGCAGCCGGTGCAGCAGCTGGGATCATTGGAATAAGAATTATTACAACGTGGATGCAATATTCGACTAGGAGACCCGGCCAGAAAAACATTGAACAATGGGAACACATGCGATGTTTCGCCGCACCCAAATTTATTCTGAATGTCCCGTACGCCCACGAATCAAGAATTTCGTTCAAAGTAAAACACGGCAACAATGCTCAATTGCTCAATTGATATTTTTTGGAAAAATAAATTGTTGCAATGACGACGATGTGCCTCGGGCCTTGCCTTGACATTCCAAGAAACATGTGTTCGATCAGCCATTGGCCTACGTAATCGGAAGCACAATGTCACCCAACACGCGCATGGACGATACATTTGCATAATGAAATCATGATTTGTGTCCGCGTTGAACTTGTAAATTCTTGCAATACATCGCCGATGAGAAGACGTGAATTGAATTGGTCACGCATTTTTCTTTCAACCGCTATCCATACAACGATGACTGGCTGTAATCATCTGCGCCTTCGGCGCCATGGCACGTGTAAGCGTGTGAAGGGCACCGGCAGGCGATCCAATGCAACGTAGGCAGGCGTTGCACATGCTGACTTCAGCGAGGTGCTCGTGTTTTTTCCCTCTGAGCTCTGGGTTGGGCAGGATGGAAGCCAGAGAAAATTAGGTGGAGAAAGGCGGCTTTTAAGTACTTCGGTTTACATTTTCATGTGTCGATATTTGCGGGGGGCGGGAGGAATCAATCTCCATATTCCGATATCATGGGGCGACCCTGGGCCGGTCTTGGGGCGCTCTTGGGAGCCTTGGGAGCGCACTTAAGGGAATGTTGGAGGAGATCTATCAAAGAACGGGGTGGTGGGAATTAGCGTTTGCTTCAAATCGCCTTTTGGATCCCAAAAGAAACCAACATCTTTCCCAAACCCAAGGAAATCTATATTTTGTTTTTTTTCCCGCCTTTTCGCTCTTGGAGCCGTTTTGGGCCATCTTGGACGCCGCAACGACCCCCAAACCTCTGTGCACCTGATAGAGGGCCCGGCAACGTATATCAAACGGCCGTCGGCAAACACGTATACGAAACAAATGTCAAATTTTGGTATACGAGAATCCCAAGGGGTGTACCCCTCCCCCTTCCCCCTCCGTTGGACCTGGACGGGGGTTCCGCGGGTCGTTGCGGCGTCCAAGATGGCCCAGAACGGCTCCGAGAGCGAAAAGGCGGGAAAATAATACAAATATATTTCCATATGTTTGGGGGAGATTTTGGTTTCTTTTGGGATCCAAATGGCGATTTGAGGCAAACGCTAATTCCCACCATCCCCTTCTTTGATAGATCTCTCCAACATGGCATTAAGAGCGCCCCGAAAACTCCCAAGAGCGCCCCAAGACCGCTCCAAGAGGGCCCGAGGAGGCCCCAAAGGCCTCCAAGAGGGCCCCAAAGAGACCCCCAAGACGCCCAAAAACTCCCCCTGAGATACGGAAGAGATCCCCAGGACCACCAAGAGGTTCCAAAGACGGTCCAAGAGGATCCCAAGCTCGCCATTGTCCTCCTCCTCCTCTCTTTTTCTTCCTCCTCCCTCCTCCCCCCCCCTCTCCTCCTCTTCTCCTCCTTCTCGTCCTCCACGCCCTCGCCCTCCTCCATCTCCTCCTCCGTATCTTCCTCCTCCTCCTCCGCCTCCTCCTCTTGCTCCTCCTCTTCCTCTTTCGACTCCGTTGACGGCGACTCCTCTTACATCCTCCCACTTCTGTATGCTTCCCCGCTTCCCTCATCACCTCCACTCCCCTGGGACTCGTTTCTGGACGGGCTGGTGGGGATATGCGAAGCGTTTCGAAGTTTGATCATATCGGCCAAGAAACACGCGCAGAATAGCTCTTGTTCGGGGCTCTCTTGAAGAGTTGTTGTTTTTTGGAGCCATCTTGGGGCTCCTTTGGGCCTTTCTGGGGCTCTTCTTTAGAGAGTATGTGGGCTTCTTGTAGGTTGCCTGAGGAATCTTTTGCAGCCGTTTGAGACTCCTAGCTGAAAGAAACGAAATTCTAATTTTCATCGCTTGGTTGTTGAGAAATGACGTCTTGCAGAGCCCTCTTGGTCCGTTTTGAAACGTTTTTGAAACAATTTTGGGATCCTCTTGGGCCCGTGGTGAAGCTATCTTGGGCCGTCTTGTGGCCACTTTGCAGCTTCAAAAACCCATCGGCCGTAAAAAAACGAGAAGGGATAACAACATTTTTCCCTTGATGTTTGAATGGTTCTGGGTCTTGGGGGTGTACTCGGGGTTCGGACAACATTTGAAACCATGTTGGGGCCGTTCTGGATGTGTATCGGAAACTATCTTGAGCTATTTGCCGCTACTATCTTGGTACGTTCTCTGAGGTCCTCTTGGTGTTTGGGCAATTTTGCACGCTGCTATGGGTCGGGCCCCTCCCGTCCAAACGCATGGATAGGGAGGGGAGGTAAACCTCCCGAACAGGGGTGGGAATGAGACTTTGACATTTCCGTCCTGGGCTTTCCCCCCAGAAACATTTTGCCACAACCCCACATGATTTTAGTTTTCGTTTAGTTTGTCTCTTCAAATTACCGATCAAAACAAAACACATCTTTTATCAACGACCCGTCGGCACAACTAGATTCGATTCCAGATTTTCGTCGGAAAGCATTCCATGACACAACTTGGGCATATATTTTGTTTCTTATTCTCTCTCCTGTCACCTCCTTCTTTCATTTGTTTACGTCATTTTCGTTGCTGTTCAAATTTATATATATATATATATATATATATCTTTCCGCGTTCTCCCTGAACGTTATCCCTTTTTACTGGTTTACTCTGCCTTTCTTATCTTCCCACCCCACCTTCCAATTCGAAAATCATAAAAACGAAAATTAACCAACAATGGACAAATGGGAAATCCACGCGCCATGGAGAGAGAAAACTGTCATTGAGTAGGTGTCTCGTGGGTTGGGACGCGTTCGCGAGGAGAAAATGAGTGCTTCCGGTTTTATACTCAAAACGCCTTCCGAAGAATGTAACAACTTCTCGCGCACGTCATTGATGCTCCCGTTGCCTGTGTTTTCCTGCTTGTGTATCCGCTCCGACTCCAGCCCCCTGCCCGTCTTGGTCTGTGCACGGGGTCCCTGGAATTCTTCCTCGAGATGCCAAATTGCCGAGAAACTTTGGAATTTTACGGCAAGGACCTTTGGAATTTTACGGCAAGGTGCGGGGTGCTAGAAAGTTTGCAGATGTAGCGGGCTCTTCTCGAGTTTCCTCAGCTGCGGCGGAGCCGCCGAGCCCGCGTAATTACGTCAATGCAAATTTTAGCGCACATCTGTTGGGCCACAGTGTGAACGATTCAACACGTGCGGTTTGTGATGCAAAACGTGAAGTCAATGTTTAAATTTGCGGGCAATCTTTGATTTGGCGTGCAGTTGCTGCGCGCGGTTTGTGATTCATTTCTGCCTCTTGATTCGGAAATTGCCGATACGGGGCAGGAACTTCCAAACGGAAAAGGCAAATCCCCGGCCTGCGGACGAATGGCAGCTGCTATTATAATTCATATTTATCTTTTCGTTTTCCCTGCGCGGCAGTCTAACAACCAACAATGCAAAGCACAAGTGTGAAGTCCACGCTCCATGGAGAGAGAGAAAGGTGTAATTGTTTAGGTTAGTCGTGGGGTTGGGACGCATTCGCGACGAGGAACAAGATTGCTTGCGGGTTCGTCTAAAACGCTTTCCGAAGAATGTAATAAATTCTCGCGCGCTCCATTGATGTTCCCGTGGTCTGTATTTTCTGTTTGTGTACCCGCCAGGACTCCAGCCCCCTGCCCGTCTTGGTTTGTGCACGGGGTCCCCGAAATTCCTTCTCGGGATGCCCAATTGCCGAACCTTTGGACATTTAGGGCAAGTCGCGGGGTGCTAAAACGTTTTTGGGTGTGGTGGGTCTGGGCTGAGGTGGATATAGCGCGTTCTGTTCTTTTCTCTTCCACTGAAGCCCTTCCCCCTACCCCCTCACCTGGGCCTGGACGGGACGCGCCGGGAAGCGTTAAAGCGTCCAAGATGGCCTCCAAGATGGCCCATGCTACTTCAAGATGGGTCAATATAGTCTCCGACCTACCCCTAAGAGACCCCAAGGCAGCCCCCAGACGGATCCAAATGCCCTTCGAACCCTCCACGGCGTTCTCCAAGATGCCAAAACCCTTCAAAAGGCGAAGAACAAATAATGTTTTTGGCATTCTCGCCTTTTCGCTTCCGATGGGCTTTGAGACTTCAGGATGGCACCATGATGGCCCAAAAAGGCCCCAACAGGGGCCCAAGAAGGCCGATGACGGCTCCAAGATCGCCCACGAAACGCCCGAGAGCGTTCCAAAACGGCCCGAAGACGCCGTTTGAGAGCCTCCGATGGGGGGAATCCTAATTAACGAGCCTCCTCTTTTTGAGACATGGGGCCCAAGAGACGTCCCAGCCTCTCCCAAAGACCCTCCACCCCGCCTTTTTTGGCCCAGTATGGCCCCAAGAGAGCTCCAGATAACCCAAGATGGCCTTCAATATGACATACGATAGCCAAGCATGGCTCAATATAGCCTCCGCCAGACCTCCAAGAAACCTCAAGACAACCTCAATATGGTCCAAGATAGCCGAGCATAGCTCAAGATAACCTCAAAGAAGCCTCAAGAAAACTGGCAGTGAGTTATGGATGGGCTGGTGGGGATACTTTTTGATTGGCGGCTCAAAGGACAGATCCAGCGAGCGGGAATATATCATCCGGGGCACAGAGCGAAATAATTGGCTGCAAAGGCGCATAGGCCGCTGTAGCGAGTGCACATGCCGAGGACAAAATGGCCCTCATTGGGGGCTGACGCAGGCGGCCCGACAAATGGGGACGCAAACACAAAACCGGAAGCGGACGGAAAGGAGCTGTCGTTAAAAAAAAGAAAAACATATATATATATATATATATATATACATATATATATATATATAAAAATATATATTATTTTTGTTCTCTCCTTTTTTTGTTCTTTTTTATGTTTTTATATACACAATTTTTACAAAAAAAAACCGCAGGCGAACGCGCCAGCGGCGGGCGATGTAGGTCGGGCCGCGACCGGCTTGAATTACCGACGGCTAACGCGCGCGACTAGGCGGCCGCGGCAGCGCCGGATGCAGCAAGCAGCAACTGCGGCGAGGGTGAGGCTGCTGGTGGGGATACGCGAAGCGTCAAGAATTTAAATTTGTTCGGGCGGAACCGAAACTTATCCGGGTGGAACCGAAACCTATTGCGATGAAGCCGAAACGTAACGCGTAGAAGCCGAAACCATTGCACGAAACTGGAACTACCGAGCGATATCAAAACCCTCAACGAAACCGAAGCTGCCCCATGGCGGCAAAAACGCATATTCGCTCTCAAGGCTTGGATTTTTTTCCAGGTCAGAAAGCGTTCCTAATTGCTCTTATTTGCATACGGGGAAGCACTTTAAAAACAACATGGGAAAAAACAACTGTTGCCACATACTTTGTGCGGACAGAAAGAAGCCACAATCCATGTACAACAATAATCGGACGCACCAAACGGGTGGTGCGAGCGACAAAACATGCTACACGCACGGAACGAACCACACACTATGCCGAATGTGTGCGCGAACTGGCGTATCAACCAAACGCGGGTTTGGGGATAAAAACGGAGAAGAGTAAACGGCCAATAAAGGAGAATATTTGTTTGCCCCTGGCCACATCTTATCACACACGTTGCAATTCGTCACGTGCTTTTCTCAAACATATAAAAATTTGCCCACTGACGGCCCCCACTTTCGCGCAAACTGTATTCTCGGGCAGGGTCTCGTTGAATTTGGCTTCCGAGGACGACAAAGCCTCGGTACGGGAATAACAATTGAAATGTCAAAATTTGCAGAAAAACACTTGGCTAGGTTCGACTGTGGGTCGGGCTTGTTTGCGACATGATTGTGTCGGAATAGCGGTTGTTGAAGGGAAAAAAACGTGAACCATTCCATGATCTGCATCACGCTTGTTTTGTCAATTCCAATCAAAATTATATTGTCTGTCCATCTCGATCGTCAACCGTTGGCGCTCGAAAGTAACGACAATTTCACACTTCGCAGCTCCCCAGGGATGGCGAGGTCCAGTTTGGGCATGCATGGGACCCCAATTTCACACTTCGCACACCCAGGGATGAGGTCCCCTTTGGGTTTGCGTGGGATTCCACTGTGCTGGACCCCCCAGCAGCCTTCAAAAGTGGCGACAATTTCAGGCAGGCCCCCCAGGGATGGCGAGGTCCCGTTTAGGTCTGCGTGGGACCCCAGTGTGCTGGCCCCCAGCACGCAGGCGAGAAGGGTACAGGGAGTCGGCCCCCCACTGCGCTATTCAAAATGAGAACCCAACCAAAGGAGGGTTGGGAAAAAGACCTCTCAGAAGGCCGGTGGCCTTCTGAGAGGTCCTGCCGCCGCCTTCTGAAAGAGCCTTACCCTTCTCACTTCCCCCCCTCGCGTGCCGCCGAGCAACGTCTAGGCGACCTGGCGGCTTAACTGGATCTGGTTCGCAGAACGTCGCGCTTCGCTCCGCACGGAGCGCGGTCACCATCCCGCACTCGCGCCGCCCCCAAGGATGTCAATAATCTCGCCCGCTCCGGCTGTGGCGCGAAGCGCTATCATCCTCGCTACGCTGCTTGCCATCGCTCGGACATCTGTTCCCCGTGCATGTGTCGGCTTCGTGAGTATACTTGTTGCCAGACGATCCAGGATGCTCCTCGATGGCCCCCGCCGAGAAAAAATGCCCGCGTCAGGGCGATGCCAATCCTGTGGCGGCTAGATGTCTCCCGAGTGGTGTCGGGGAATCGCGCCGCATCGCCGATGCATCGGCGACGCCGGCGATGCGTCGGCGACGCCGTGGGCACCACCTCGCTCCGACCCACGATCCCATCTGCTCGGACCGCACCTGGGAGGCCTTGCGGCAGGGGAGGAGACGAGATAGACAAGCGCGTTCTACTACTCGCAGAACGTAACTACTCGCAAATGGCCGGGATCCGCTGCGGGAGATGTAGGATCCATTGCATGGCGGAATCCATTTGGGTTGGACGTTTGCGATTAGGCTCTTCGCGAATAGTGGAACGCGCTCGGTGATGAGAGGCGGATCAAGAATACGAATGCTGCTGCCGCGGTGGGGCCACCGTCACCAACTCGGGCGGGCTGGAACAAAAACGCCCCGCCAACCAGCAGCAACAGCAGCACGCGCCCAGAGCCAGTGGACAAACCACCGAAGGGGCGACCAACCGCCGCCACCGACCTCCTGGCGTCCAGGGCCGCGCGCAGCTGCGCGGTGCCACTGGCAGGCATGCCGCTCCTGAGCATGCCCTGCCACGACGGGCGCCATCCAGCGACCGCCGCATCTGAAGCCAGAAGCCCTCAGACTCTGGGACCCTGCGCCGCGCCGAGCAGCATGGCACAGCGATTGCGACCGCAGTGCGAAGCCTTCGGTTCGCATGTCGGCGGCCAGGAGGAGGAGGAGGAGGAGGAGGAGGAGGAGGGCAGGGGCCACTCGGGCATGGCCTGCAGGCGGATCACGAACCACCGCGCGGCGTCCTCCCACGCCAGCGGGAGCCGTGGTAGGCTGGTGCCCTGCTCGACTGGGCCCTCTCCTGTGCCTCCTCTGGGCCGCAGGAGTCTGGTGGGGTCGCTGGAGAAGGAATCCTTCGACGAGGAGTCGTCCGAATAAAGGTGTCGCCCATTCCTTAACCAACGCCACCACTGTGGATGAGAAGCCAGCGCGGCGCGGTATGCCGCAGACCGGTTCGCGCACCCACTGGCCTGCCAACAACGAGCCCGAGATTTCGTGGACGACAGGACGGACAAACACCGTAAGGCCTGCGTGACACCGTAAAACGCTGCCGCAGTACCTGCAATGCCTGGATCAGACCGCCTTGCAGGAAAAAACTGCCACTGGCTCCGCCCACTCGCGAAACGCTGCTGCCGCTGGAGCCCTGCTGCGCATTTTCTATTACGCACGTGGGTCTCTTTGCGACGGCCAGCCTCCAGCAGGCCAGATGGAAGCCAGACTACGGAGGGCAAGAAGCAAATGCCGGGGCAAGGCAGACTTCATGCTGCCACCGACCGCCCCCTTGGGCGGTTGTCCCCTCTGCAGCCTCGGACGGTCGGAAGAGGAACATAAGATGAGGATGAGATGATTGAGAGATGATGAAGGGGCGCTCCCACGTCTTAATACTCGTGGCATATCGTGGGATGCTCTCTCCATTAGAGCTTCCGAAAGGCTCAACAAACTCACCGCTCGGGCTCTACAGGCGGTCACTAATTCCGCATGCTCCAGTGACACACTTGTCTGGCCTGCCATGTTTGTTGGCTGGATCAGTGCCACATGCAACAACACATTTCCTCCAATCAACAGAAATCAAATTCCATGCCCGCCAGAATGACGGAATGACTGGCTAATTGATCGACCGACGTCAACAAACGATGCGGGGAATGCATTTTGGAATGCCCGCGGGCTTCAAGCACCGCAACCCCACACGCAATCGGGCAATACGTCTTGGGCCGCGGGCACACCCGACAAGACAACAATTATTGGGCCGTGGGGGCCCGAACCGCGCTCGCTCCCGCGACCGCGCAAGGGCAACTGCACCCGCACCGGCAACCGCAACTGGGCAGCACCACGTGGGCCGCGGGCGCCCGCGGCCGCACTCGCAACTGGGCACCTCTTTTTCTGGGCCGCGGGCACCCGCACCTGCCCTTGGGTGACAACATACTCTTTGCGGGGGGGGCCCGCAACCGCAACCAAACCACACGCTTTGCGCTGCGGACTCTCGGAACCTCCTCAAGCATCAACGCCAAAAACCATGAATCGAGGACATGCGGCGCCAGAACCAGACCTGCAACCGCGCCCGCACCCCGCAACCAAGCCACGCATATGCACCCCAGCACCAAGCCGCGCCCGCAACCCGCGACATGGTAACACATGTTGGGCCGCGGGGAACAACCATGAAAGAGCCCAAGAAACAGCGAGCCCGTCCAGCATCTGAACAAAACCTTCTTTCAGCGCCTTGGCTGTATCTGTATGGCCACCCATTATCGCTACACAAGCAGCCCCTGGGTGCGGCCCGCAGTGCTCCCCTGGGACACTTCAGCGGGGAATTCCCACGCCGCGCTGCTGCCCTCCTCCTCCTCCTTCTCCTCCTCCTCCACCTCCTCCTCCTCCTCCTCCTCTCCTCCTCCTCCTCTTCCTCCTCCTCCTCCTCCTCCTTTTCCATCTCCTCCTCCTTCTCCTCCTCCTCCTCCTCCTCCTCAAGCGAGATATCAGGGCAAACTGGTGCGTTCCAGCAGATGTGTGCCTCGCCCTGCTGGGTTTGCAGCTAAGGAGCCCAGCAGGGCGACATAAGGAGCCCCCACCAGAGTACGAGTCCAAGCTAGCTGTGCACTGGAATGTCATCCTCACCAAATCGAAGCAACTGCTTGATGTGCACTTGTCAACAATTCGCGATCAAAACACGCACACATTGCCAAACGGCTACTTGAAGCGTTCGAAGCGAATTATCACCACGATCACGAGAGCCAACACACTCTGTCGCATTGAGTTCACCTTAGCCACAAGTGGTCACAAGCGCGCCTACCAGAAGAAATAGCATGGAGAAACACCTCAGGCGGTCTCAGCGTGGCTTGTGAAGCCCCGAGTTCTCAAATATCGAGGTTCACTCCTCTGCCAACTACAGACGTTGCGCTCTCAAGCATGCGACCGCCCCGATCAAGCACTGTCGCTCTTGAGCAACGCATCGGGCATCGAGCCCGGGAATGCGATTGATCAAGCCAAGTGCGTAGACAGTAGTAATGGTAGACATGGTCACAAGGAAGCTTTCCTGCCAAGCATCCATGTGAGAGTTCCTCCAAACAGATGGCGCACGTAGAGCAACTGCTGTCCGAATGGACGTCACGGACAACAAAAGACGCCACCTGTGACTCTGGCGGATCCATGTCCGTCTTGACAGCTTGAGTGACCACGTTCGCAAGCCACACGCCAGTGGAAAGCATGTTCATACCTGGAAGAAACAAGCGAACCAATGCCCCTTCTGCGGTGAGGCCATCCAGCTCGCTCCGCCAGCTGAGAATAATGTACACATGCCCCGAGGCAATGGCCCAGGAGGGAATGAGCAGAATGACGGGGACCACTGGTCGACACAGGTGGACGGGGATCCCGAGCCGCGTGCAAATGGGCGGTGCCATGACGGTCATGCCGCTCCTGACCATATTCGTCACAAACAGTGCCACCAAAAGCAACCAGTTCCGGTACTCCTCAGACCTGATGGGAGGCTTCGCTAAGCTGGGGATGCCTGCAAAAAAACCGCCGCATATTCCAACGACCATGATCGCCATGCAGAGCTCGAGAACGCCCTCGTACAAGCAACAACACTCACCGCACTGGCGGACTTCGTTTCTGTAAGGCATTCGAGATCCGAACACATGAATCATGGTGCGGAGTCCACGCTAGCTGCGGATGGTCAGCTTGCACAAAATTTGGGCCAGAAATTGGCTGGTGTCGGATTTGGGGGGAAGCTGAACACACAAATCTACAAGGGTCAAGGGCCGAGGTCCCTTAAACGGAACTTTTGATAAACCAAGACAGTGGCGTGCCCGAGAGAACTGCGACCGCAGGTCGAAACATTCTCCATAGTTCCTTCTCCAAGATGACTTTGCAAGACCCTGATTCGGAATGTCCTGGCTTGGGGGGGCCCTGGAAAGTCTCCCGGCGTTTCTGGAGGCCTGAGCAAGTCTTTAAAGCCCCATAATGCGGAATTGCACAGGAACGTACCGAACCCATCCGAGGCGTCCGGCAGCACCATTTGATGAGGCGGCCCATGACACCACTCCTCTTACCCTCAGGGGGTCACGAACGTGCCGACAGCTGCGCGGCTGCCAGCGCACAGCTGGGACACCCAGGAGTTCACACCCGTGGAGATAGTTGCGCGCTTGCCAGCGCCCAGGGAACGCGAGGACCGATTGGATTCGCGTGCGGTGTCACTCCGCTGGCTCCCATGGGAGGTTGTAAGCTACGTGATGGAAGCTATTTGGTGAAAACAATGTAATGTAATTGAGCTATGTGGTACACGCTACGTGCTGAAAGCTATGTGCACATGTCGTGCAGACTATGTGGTGTCATGTCAGCTAGGTGGTGCAAAACTTTGGTGTGTTGCATGTGGAGTAGGTTGCATGTGTGTGTGTGTGTGTCTTACTACCCTGGCAACCCCCGCAGACCTCTCCAGCCTCCAGGCTCATCGCTGTGCCGTCTGCGCCCTTTCGCAAGCCCTTCTCGGGTCCTCAATGGGTCTTTACCTGGAGACCACGTGTCCACCACCCCGCAATACCTCGGAGGAGGGCTGTCAGGGGCTGGCAAGGACCTCCTCGCGGCCCTCCCAACGGATGTACCACCAGACGTCGCCCTGTCCCGTCCCCTCCTCATGGATGGGGACATCCGCTTCCGCCCCACCTTGCAGGCCCATCATTTTCTGCGACTAACGTGGGAAAGGTCCATTCGATCCCCAGAAAGAGACTGGAGGCACGTGGGTGGACTCCACGATCAGGAGAACCGCAGCTGCCGGCCGTCTGGAATGCTACAGGGATGGACCAGACTGCACGCATGGCACTGCAGCACCTGCGCCAGCAGACGGTAACATAGCGGCGCGCCTGGACGGCCTCGAGAACACGGGGTCCAGTGCCCCTCGTTGCCCTCCCGGGCCCCTCCCCGGCCGCCCCGCCGTCGAGTGAACCAATGCGGACGCCCCTTGGTCGGCTCTGGCTCTGCTCCCGGTGCCGGAGGGCTCCCACAACCCCGCGCACACGCTCGCTACCATTCCAACGCTCCGCACCATTGACGACAGGTTTGGCCGACACCTCGGCAGTGGCCAGTGGAAGTGCCAGTGCGATCGCTGCCCAAACGACGCCCCCCCCGAGGCAGTGGCCATGCGGGGAAGCACCACTGGGTACCCTCATTTCCCGCCCTGGGGAGGAGGCCCTGGCCGACGCCGCGCATGGTCTCCCGGCCTTCCACGACCGTTCCCAGCTGTTCGCCAGCATGCTTTGGAACTCCACCTGGTTCTGCTCCGACTGCCTCGTGCACCAGTGGGGCGCCACCCCAGCCATGTCAGGGCCGTGCTCGAGCGGGGCGGTCGGCTCGTGCTTCCCCAGGCCGCCCTCAAGAAATATCAGAAGCTGCCGCAGGCCGCTCCCGCGCCTGCCGCCCTGGCGCGCCCTTCTGGCTGCGTCCACTCCCCATCCACGGACGGCCGCCAGCAGCCGCCAGCAAGCGCACCTGGCGACGAGGAAGACCCGTTCGGGCTCTTCCCCCTGGGGACTGGCAGCAGCGGAGCTGGAGACGCGGGCCCGCGAGACGCAGCTCCCCAGCAAGTTCCCCAGCCGCCCGCCGCCCTGCCCGACCCAGCGCCCCCGCCCGCGCGGGGGCGACGCCCGCGCAGTCACAGCCCGGCCCGCCGCCGGCCCCCCAACAGCCCCGGAAGCCCAAGCTCAACAACTAATTACTGGCAGGCCACCCGGGCACAGGGCGCAGCGGCGTGCCTCAACCAGCTGTTCTTCTGGCGGCCGAGCGCTGTCCCCACGGGGACAGTCCAGCCGCAGCCGCGGCGCTCTTCGCCGCTTTCTCACCCCTCCACCGCGCCATCGCCCCAGCCCGTCGCCGGACCACCACCGCCCAAGCAGCCGCGGCCTCGCAGCGCCCCCGCCGCCCAGGCCCGACCGCCCCGCTGCGGGTGAAGAGAAGGGCGGCGAGGCGCGGGGCAGGTCGCCGACGCCGCCCCCATCGGCCCCCTGCCAATCTTCTCGGGAGCGGCCAGGAGGGGGGTGTCCAAGAAGGGGGGGTGCACATCATGACTGGCGGCATGTGCGCGGCCCAGCGTGGGGGGCCAGGGACGCAATGAAAGAAGTTGGGGCGCCATGAAATCTGGGGAAATATCGTGGCCCCCGCCATGATATCCACCCCCCCTAGCCATCACCCCCCTCTTTTCCGCCCCCGATCTGCTGGACGACCCCCCAAAGTCGACCCACCGGCCTGCCCGCCACTCAAGGCAAGGGGGGTCGCTTCGGTGGAAGCCGCCGGGCCCATCGACCCGGCGCGCGCAGCCGGGAGGGCGGACGGCGCCATCGCGCACATCATGGTCGCCTACGCCCGCTCGTTGCCCCCCCCAGGTTGACGAGTTCTCGAAGAACTGAACGTTCGAGCACCAGGCTTCCTCCCTCCTCGAATCAGTTCAATCTGAAGCGCCTGGCGACCCCAGGGCTTGGTCCGCGTCCTGTTGCCAGCAATTCCTTTCCACCTATGGCAAGGCCATTCCTCCCTCAGGACTCCCTGAAGGTGTCCGATGGGACGGTGGGCGCGCCTCCCTGGCACAACTCGTAAGTCACCTGCGCCCCTGCGAACCCGACGAATGGGAGGTGCACCGACGGACGACCCCCAGGCCAACAAGAGAGGTGGTGACCCCGCGCGGTACAGCGAGGAGGTTTTGCTCGGCTACCTGAGCTCGAGGCACATCAGGAGCCTTTAGGGCCCCCACTTGGCCGGGCTCAAGCCAGCAGGCGCACGAAGGAGGCGAGCCCCCTCATCTGTCGGCGGCAGCGCCTCTGCCCGCAATCATTACCCCTGCCCACCCTGAAGACGTGGGGGCAGCGATGACCTCCGGGACCGGCGCCTCCTCCTCCTCCTCCTCCTCCTCCTGCTCCTCCTCCTCCTCCTCCTCCTCCTCCTCCTGCTCCTCCTCCTCCTCCTCCTCCTCCTCCTCCTCCCCACCGTGGCAGCTGGGGGCCCCGCCGAAAGACTCGGGCTGCCCCCCGCCTCCTGCGCCCCCAAAGCGTGAGGCTCGCGAGCAGTCCAGCAGCTGCCCAGCACCGTCGGAACGAAGGCCCAGCACACCATCCCAAGACAGCAACGGGGATGGGCGCGCGCGGCTGACTGAAGCGCCAAGCGAAACCCCAGGGACGGCCCGCAAGTCCCCCAACTCGCCCCCAGCGCCACGCTCCCGCTTCAACTCAGCCGGCTGCGACTGGAGCGGCGACCAACAGCAGCGACCCCCGGACAGCCCCACCAACCTGGACAACGACGGGGCACGGCCCAGCCCACGCGGGTCTCCGCAGCGGCCTGGGGGCGTGCCCTCAGTACCCAGGCGTGAGTGCGGGCCGGAACTACAAGCCGAGCAGCCTGACGGGGGCGCCCCCGGGGGCGACGAAGACGAACCTGTGCTTGAGAGCCCCTTTGCCGCCGAACAACGTAGCCCTGGGGCCTCCAGGAGTGATCGCGGGAGCGGCGCGGCGGATCGCGCCCCGCTCTGGTACCGGGCTGCCCCCCCCGCCCCGAGCCAATTCTCCCGCGCAACTAATCATGATCCCCTTCGGGGCCCTCATGACAGGCTGTACCTCAAACCGCGCAAAGACGTTTACTGGCACCCCTGCTGGAACTACACAGCTCAGCGGGCAACCGCCTGGAGAAAGAGTGTGGCCCCATGTTGACCATTGGCTGGGGCGCCGCGTTGAGGTACGAGGGGTCCACCAAAGACCCCGGCCGCCACTCCCCGGACTTCTGCCGAGAGTTCGTGTCAGAGCTCATCAAATCATACTTCGACGTCCGCGCCCTCTGCCGCAGCAAGCACATCCACGTGGATATGAGGCGCCTCGTGGGAGCAGGAGATGGGGAATAGGAGGCTCAGCGCCCAGATCACAAAAAGGCAAAGAGACGGGTCCCTCCCTGCAGGGTAAAGGCAAGCGACCAATTGACTCCTCCTGGCCCATGAACGACCCCTCACGGCAGTGGTGGGCCGGGTCTCATAGTCGACACTGGTGGCGGCTCGCCTTGTGCCCGACATGCAACTGCCACCCGCCATTCGGGATCCAGTTCTGAGTGTCCCTACATGCGCTCCCCGCTGCCTTCCATCCGGGCGCCATGCGCCCTGCCTAAGGTTCGCCTGTTCCCCTTTGCGCCCGTGCGCCTGCTCGGCGCTACCCCGCACCCGGCTGGGCCTACTCAAGCTCGCCGGCTTTTCGACCGGCCTGTCGCCCGCGCGCCTGGCCGCGGTCGCCACTGGCCGCTGCCTGGGCCTTCGCGCCTTCCTCCGCCCCGCCGCCTCGCCTGGCGCCGCCCCCCCTGTGGGGTCGGCTTCTCTTCGCCCGACGCTGTTGCACCTGTTCGGTGCCTACTCCGCCCCCCCCATTGCGCCCGTCGGTGCGACCCCCCGCGAGCGCGCGGCCCTCTCGGGTGGCGCTCTTGCTTTCCTCCCCCCTGCCCCCCGCCTAAAGGCCACCGGTCCTCCGGTGCCCACGGGCGCAACGCATTGCGCTGCCGCTACGTCTGCCCTCCCGAATGCTGGTCTTGCCGCTCGCCATTGGCTCCCGCGCGCCTCCTCCCCGCTTGTCCTTGAGACTGCCGCCCCGCCTCCGTCCGGGTGGAGGCCCCTGCCCCGCCTCGGGGATCTTCTGACCCGGGTCAATCCAGACCCGGGTCAGCAGGAAACCAAAAAACTGCAATGCAGGGAAAAAGCTGCAACGCAAGTCTTCGCATACCTGGGTCAGCCAAAAGGCGCGGCCGCCTCGCGGCGA